TAATATAATATAATATAATATAATATTATATTATATTATATTATAGAACATTTAGGCATAAATTTAAGATTTATGTATTTGAATTGCATTGTTTTCCGAAAGATGAAAATCATAAGTAAATCATTTATGTATTATTATATTATATTATATTATATTATATTATATATTTAGGCCTAAATTTAAGATTTATTCATTTGATATACATAACTATTTGCTATTTTCAAAATGCATTTATTCAAAACAATTACATTTATTCATTTAAAAAATATGAAGTATGGTTGAAATATGGCTAGCTGTGGAACAACAAGCAATATTTAGTTAGTTAACTTGTTTTTTTTATCAAAAAAATTGGGTTGATTGATGATAAACCTGGTTACTGTGTATTTAAAACACATTTCGTTTATTTGTAATATTACAGAAATCTTACATGTTTCATTTGTGTATGACTGACAAATATGTATCACATTAAGTTTATTAGTTTATGTTAAAACTGAGTGATCCACATGGATGGAATGTTTTATGTAATTATGCGGTGCATAAATCTGAAATTTAGGCAAAAAATTTTTTGTGCATTTTTTGAATGCATTTGAGTATCATGTATTATATGAAGGAAACGAACCTCTGGTTTCATAGCAGACCACACCAGCAAAGTGCTGGATGCCGAACTGTGTTTCGTACGTGTTTTTAGGTGGAATGTAGTTGGTGTTGAGTTTGTGTTGAGAGTTGAGTTTGTTCAGCATGGTGGTGTCTGTGCCCTGAAACATGAAAAAGAAAGGGTCAGCGTGAACACCGGAAGCAGTGTGTGAACGTACGTACAGTACAGACCTCACCTTGGGAAACTTGCTCTCCTCGTCGATGAGAGAGATGATATTCATGGGCTTTATGGCGATCATGTCCAAAGCGTCCTGGTTGTCTGTGAACTCAATGTGCTGCCAGTTTATGTTCTCAATGTTATATTCTTCCTGCTCCAGCTTGAAGACATGACGGACGAAGAACTGCTGCAGGTTTTCATTGGCAAAGTTGATGCAGAGCTGCTCAAAGCTGAAGGAGAGATACGACTACATGAGTCACCAAATCACAACAGCTGATCATATCAGAAAATATATAAGCACACAAGATGAGGGTGTCATATTACTAAGTATATTAATTATTATTCATTTAATAATAACTAAATTCATATATTACATAATAATTCATATATAAATTAATAAATATAGCAATTTATTTAATACATTTTTGTATATTTTTAATAAAAGCTAATAATTTTGATATTTAATATAAATTATTTACATATCAAATACTATTATTACACATTTAATATATAATAAATTAATATGTCAAAATAATTTATATATACAGTATATTTATAACTAATTAATAGTAATTGATTTTATTACATTTTGATAAAAAGTTACTTATTTTAAGATTTAATAATAATGATTATTTACATATCAAATACTATTACTATATATTACATATATAATAATAAATTAATTTATAAAATATAATAATATAATATAATGACTTATTTTAAGATTTAATATGAATTATTATTTATGTATCAAATGCTATTATTATATATTAACATATATAATAATTATTATGTATTAAATATATAATAATAAATTAATTAATAACAGAAATTTAATTTCAGTCAACATATCAAGTACAACTCAATATTTTTGTGAAGTGGGGCTTCGGAAATGATTACGTTATGATTGCAATTTATTTAATAAATTTTTGTATATTTTTAATAAAAGCTAATAATTTTGATATTTAATATAAATTATTTACATATCAAATACTATTATTACACATTTAATATATAATAAATTAATATGTCAAAATAATTTATATATACAGTATATTTATAACTAATTAATAGTAATTGATTTTATTACATTTTGATAAAAAGTTACTTATTTTAAGATTTAATAATAATGATTATTTACATATCAAATACTATTACTATATATTACATATATAATAATAAATTAATTTATAAAATATAATAATATAATATAATGACTTATTTTAAGATTTAATATGAATTATTATTTATGTATCAAATGCTATTATTATATATTAACATATATAATAATTATTATGTATTAAATATATAATAATAAATTAATTAATAACAGAAATTTAATTTCAGTCAACATATCAAGTACAACTCAATATTTTTGTGAAGTGGGGCTTCGGAAATGATTACGTTATGATTTAAAAAAAAAAAAAAAAAATCTGTTTGGATTAGACCTGGATAATTAGACCAGGAAAGTGCATTAAGTGTCATTAACCATCATTTGCACAATATGGTTACAGTATAATTAGCATTAGTATATTAAGTAGGCTATTAGGTGACTCGATATACAAATAATTTTTGTACGTGTAACAGAGACACTGTAATGTTGTGATTGTTTTCAACCTGTTAACAGTGAAGTTCTCAAAGCCGAAAATGTCGAGCAGGCCGATGCATCTCCGCACTGTTTTGAGCTCCAGGGACGGAGGCTTATAAATGGCTGCATTGATTTTCTCAACAATCCACACAAACAAGCGTCCGTATATGCCCTATGAAGCACACAGCTAGTTAGATGAATGACCTGGATCAGGTGTGTCGATGAAAGCGGGAGATGGTTTTACCTTAACAAAAGCGTCTCGCACATCCAGCGCCTGCTCAATACTCAGAGGAGTGGAAACCGTCTCTCCACGGGTTATTATGGTTCGGCTGGTCAAGCAGTTCATCAGGTCCTTCAAGTCCACCTATGAACACAGGACCAATCCAGAGTTACTGAACAAACGTCTGCTGTAAAGATCATTAACACCATTTCACACAATGTTGCTCAATGTCTCAATAATACAGAAATTTCAGCTGCCAAAAAGTTGTTTTCTTTATACAGAATCATATCATAAATAACTGATTATTATACGCATAAGAAAAAAGTCAAATAAAATTTCTCTATTTCAAATATTCATACATTTTTGTGGAAAAAGTAAAAAAAAAAAATCTGTTTCAAATATTAATAAAAAAGAATTTGTGAAAAAAAAATATATATATAATTTCTCTGTTTCAAATATTCATATATTTATATATATATATGAATATTATATTTTCAAACTTTTTTTGTGGAAAAAAATTTAATCTCTATTTCAAATATTCATAAATTTTTTTGTTGAAAAATTTTAAATATAATTTATCTGTGTATTCAAACTTTTTTGTGGAAAAAAATCTCTATTTCAAATATTCTTACATTTTCTTGCGGAAAAAGTTCAATAAAATTTATCTGTTTCAAATATTCACAGATTTCTTTTTTTGGAAAAAGTTCAATATAATTTCTCTGTTTCAAATATTCCGATTTTTTTTTTGTGGAAAAATAATAAATAAAAAATCTCTCTATTTATTTATTTATTTGTGTAAAAAAAATACAATTTCTCTGTTTCAAAAATTCATACATTTTTGTGGAAAAAAATTAAATAACACTTCTCTATTTCAAATATTTTTACATTTTCTTGCAGAACAAGTTCAATAACATTTCTCTGTTTCAAATATTCACAGATTTTTTTTGTGGAAAAAAATAAATACAATTTCTCTGTTATGTGTGTGTGTATGTATGTGTGTGTGTATATGTGTGTATATATGTATATGTTTATGTATATATTTATAAGTCTGGCGAGTAAACAAAAAATGTACTAGCCAATGGCGATTCAATTGCCAAGGTGTTCGTAGAGCGCTGGAAATATTATTTCTCTGTTTGAAATATTCATACGTTTTTTTTGTGGAAAAACTTAAATAACATTTCTCCGTTTCAAACATTCATACTTAAATCCATCACAGTAATTGTTTCCATGTTAGTCACAAGAGGGCGCTCAAACACCTGGATAATCTTGCACATACTTCTATTCGCATTCGTCAAATGTCCTATACATAACAGACTAGATTCATTCATTCAAAATATTTATTTAGCATTAATTTTATGCTAAAATGCACTTAAATCGCCATGTCGCTATAATGTCGTGATTTAGCTTCATACCTCTAATAAAACAGCGGCAGTGGTGAGATCGGAGCATCGCACGACCTCACAAGCGTCCAAATTATCATATGTGCGAGCTGGGGAGGAAGTTTATAACACCATAAGTTACTAAATACACAGTTTCAGTACTACTACAGATAAAGTACATGACAAAAGTATGTTTTGAATAAAAAAAAAAATAGAGTTTATTAGACACAGACAGCACACATACATCTGCAAGATGTCTGTTAAAGATCGCTTCATCTGGAAAACATCTGCAGTGTACAAACATCTGATAGACATCTGTAAGATGTCAGTTTTACATGCAATCATCATAAACATCTTAAAGACATCTTCTAAACGTCTATTTGACATCTGATACGAAACGTCCTATAGACGTAAATCCAGACGTCAAATAGATAAATAGGCAATAAAGCCTACATGTGCTATCAGTGCATTTGTCCAGCAAACTCACCCTCATAGTTCAGGTTGCCCATGTGCAGAATAGCGGCTAGCAGCTTGCAAATCTCCCAGTTCTCCTTGTCTGTGAACATGAGGACCTTCATGGCCGAGCGGATGTTTGAATATTCCTTCTGATCATCTCGACCGTCACAAACAGTGCAGTTTCCCTGAGTTTAGACAGCGTAGACACATGCCAGGTCAAGGTTATGAATGCAAGTACTAATATGTTAGTATATTTTGGAGACTCCAGCGAGTGTCTGCTATTAAAGATTGTCTCTGTATGTCTGATTGTGCACATGTATACTGCACACTGCAAGAACATTAAAGCATTAAAGATCATCACTCACAATAGTAAGGTAGGTGTAGTCTGTGGCTTTACCCAAGCCGAGCTTCTTCTTCTGGTCAGGCGTCATTCCTTTCAACATACAGTAGAAAATGTGGTAGTTTCTCTCATCACGGGCCTGAAAGAGTAGAGGAAAAGGTACAAATGTAAAAATCGTCAAAAAAAATATTTAATAATAATAATTCACACGTTGCATGTTGCAGTTTGGACTGATTTTGTTTTCATTGTAGCAATTAGAATAGCAGAAGTGAATACTTTCATTCATCAAGGACACATTTAGAATAATTAATTCGACTATTTCAAACAATTCTGTTCTTCTGAAAGTTCCATTCAAAGAATCCTGAACAAAAATGTGTCACAGGTTGCTCAAAAATATTACTAAACAAACATCTACCATGAAGATCATCAAAGATATTTGCTCAAAGTTTTGCAATAATGCAGAAATTATGTTTCATTATACAGTATCATATAATAAATAACGGAGAAATGTATCATCTTATGCATAAGACGGAAGTAGAAAGACTTATTTTTTGTGGAAATAGTTAAATACAATTTCTCTGTTTCAAATATTCATGCTTTTTGGCCCTGTAGAAATCCATCGTAGTAATTGTAGTACAGTAGTAACAGTACTTAAGTTACAAGTCAGCATTAAATTGATCAAAAGTGACAGTCAAGACATTTATAATCTTACAAAAGATTTCTATTTCAAATAATTGTTAGGGTTAGGGATGTGAACTTTCTATTCATCAAAGAATCATGAACAAAAATGTATTACAGTTTCCACTAAAATATCGTGCAGCACAGCTGTTTTCAACATTGATAATAATCAGAAATGTTTCTTGAGCAGCAAATCAGCATATTAGAATGATTTCTGAAGATCATGTGACTGGAGTAATGATGCTGAAAATTCAGCTGCACATCTCAAAAATAAATTACATCTTACTATATATTCACATAGAAAACAGTTATTTTAAATTGTAATAATATTTCACTTTTTTCTGTATTTTTGATCAAATAAACACAGCCTTGGTGTACATGAGACTTCTTTCAAAATCGTACCAGACCCAAACTACTGATTCAGACTCAAAAGAATTGGGATTCAGATTTGTTACCTGTCGACACACTCTGGATTTCTCCAGAAGGTACTGCTCGATCTTTGCTCCCTCTATGGCTCCTCTTTTGTTGAAGTGGATGTCGATGTATTTCCCAAAGCGGCTGGAGTTGTCGTTACGGATGGTTTTAGCGTTCCCAAAGGCTGTGTGGTAAAGTCATCAAACCAATCAGAATGTAATCCGCACAGAGATGTGTTTCCAGAGCTCAATCCCTCCACAGTTCTCTTACCTTCTAAGATGGGATTGGCCTCCAGCACCTGCTGCTCGATCCAGGAGTGCTGCCCGCTGATAGCAGCCAGAAACTGCAGGATCAGCTTGGTACTTTCTGTTTTTCCTGCTCCAGACTCACCACTGACAGGGAAATAAACACTGATGAACATACACAGGCTCATCTTCAAATCTTCTTCTACAACACTTTTTTATTCAACAGCGTAGAACAGGGACATCATCTTGAATGTATAGACTGTGGTAACCCTCAGTTGTAAAAAGTCTTGCGGGATTCACATGCAACATTCATATACTTTGTTTATTTGGAGGTCCAGAACAACCCATATCCCATAACTCTAGCCCGAACTCTTTTCTTGAGCCTAACCATAAGCCTTCCTTTATCCCTGACCTTAAAGGGTTAGTTCACCCAAAAATGAAAATTAGCCCACAAATTACTCACCCTCAAGTCATCCTAGGTGTATATGACTTTCTTCTTTCAGACGAATCCAGTTGGAGTTATATAAAAAATTGTCTTTGATCTTTCAAGCTGTTTAATGCCACTCAGCGGGTGTTGCATGCATCAGTCCAAAAGAACTTAAATAAAAAGCGCCCATCCATAAAAAAAGTGTCTCACACGGCTCCGGGTGTTGAACAAAGGCCTCCTGTAGCGAATCGATGCATTTTTGTAAGAAAAATAACCATATTTAAAACGTAGCTTGAAAGATCAAAGACAATTTTTAATATAACTCCGACTGGATTCGTCTGAAAGAAGAAAGTCATATACACCTAGGATGACTTGAGGGTGAGTAATTTGTGGGCTAATTTTCATTTTTGGGTGAACTAACCCTTTAAGGCCAATCCTGATCCCGACCCGACCTTACCTTTGTCATTTTAAACCTAACCTCAACTTTGACCTCACTTCTACTAGTTGAAAGTACAGGAATATTTTTGAAGGTGCCAGTGCTATTTTAGAATTATTTATATACGATTATAGTCATTATTAATTTTTTTGAATTTGAACATATTTTTAGATTTTCAGTTTTCATTTTAGTTTACGTTTTAGTCATTTTGTCACAATATGTGCTTCTGTGATTTTTATTTATTTATTTAAGATTTCTATTTAGATTTATGTTTATTCCAGGTTGTCATTTTAGTACTTTAGCTTTAACTAATTTTATTTTAGTTAGTTGCTAATGCAACATTTCTCATTTTCATTTCATTAAGTAATAAATATTTAATTTGAGCATTATTTAATTAACAAATTTTTTTAACAGTTTTAGTTTTACAATTTTTTGTCTTTGTGATGACCATAATGATTAACACAAATATCCCATTATTTATCCCAATAATATTTATTCATTCATTATTTTTTCTGACACAATAGTTCTGTATTTATTTATCTGAAATGGTACTGAATAAAATAATTATTTTATTAATTATTTATTAAATAAAATAATAATTATTAATCATTATTATTTAATAAAATTACATCTAAAAATTATATAAAAATGATTCTATTTTATAAAAAAAACTTGACCCTCTAACACTAGCACTCTCTGTTCTATTTCTATTCTATCTACTTGTTTTCGTTTTATTTATTATAAAAAAATAACAACTTGACCCTCTAACACTAGCTCTTTCTATTCTATTTCTACTTCTTTTCTTTTAATTTATTAAAAAAACCTGACCCTCTAACACCAGCATTCTACATTCTTTTTCTGTTCTATCTACTTTTCATTTTTTTTATTCATTATAAAAAAAAACTCGTCACGACAAAAGCGTCTGCTAAATGACTAAATGTAAATAATAACTGATTATATTAATTATTATACTTATTTTAAGTTGCCAAGGTATTTTAAGTTTTCATCTAATAATTATATTTTGTTTTATTTTAATACAATAACCACACTGACTCAAGGGCACTATGTGGTGGCAGCTGAAAAAACGTCTTCTGGAGTTTGAACCTGTAACCTTTAGATATCCAGTCCAGATCCTAAATAATAGATAGGCAGGCATATGTCGTCCCATGCAGCACTCACACTGAACGCTGCTCACCTTATGATGCAGCACTGGTCTTTGTTGTTGCGTTGCATGTTGAAGTAGCAGTTGTCGGCGATGGCGAAGATGTGTGGAGGCATTTCTCCGATCTTCTTGTTGGTGTAGAGGCGAATCTGGTCTGCCGTATAGATGGGCAGCAGCTGATACGGGTTCACAGCCACTAAGATGGACCCGGTGTACGTCTATGAAGAACACAGAAAGAGAGCTGAAGCAGACTGGAGGAACTTTTATTGTGTTGACTTTTAATGCAACATTGACAGTTCAGAGCATGTAGAGGACATGCAGATATCATCATTCATGTTATAACACAAGACAGATATACTGGTTATGGGACACGGCGAATGAAGATGACATGAGAGGAGATGCACAGGCGACTTGCTTTTCGTGGGTGCAGTTACAGTGGGATGTATCAGTGTCCTGTTACCGCAGACCTCACGGCCATGTTGAAATGCAGCACCGTAATGAAAACACACTCGTTCTGAGTCAGGCAATGAACAGCGAGCAGCCGTGCGCATGAGTACTTACCCGACCACCACAGTTAGTCTTCATACAGACAAAAACAGAGATGAGAACATAACCAGAGCAGATCAACGAGGACAGTTATTAAAGATTAAAACAGCCAGATAAAGCCCTTAAAGATTTAAATCATGGAACAGACCAACAAATTGTTTTTGTCTTTCTGATGACCATAATGAGCAACAGAAATATCCCTTTTTTATCCCAATTAATAATATTTACTTATTTAATTAATTAGACACAGTAGTTTTGTATATAATAGTTATTTATATATAATTATCTGTTATTTATCCCAATTAATATTTTTTTATTATTATTTATGTATATTATTAATGTTTTTGAATTTTATTTAATTTTTTTATTTTTTACTTTTTAAAAATATTTTTGAATTTTATTATTATTATTAATATTACTATTAATAATAAACTAAATAATAAAATTAATAAAATTATTTTATTCAGGTCCACTACTTTGATCAGTTACTCAATGCCATTTCAAATTGTTACTATATACTAATATATATTTTGTCAAATTAAATTTTTATTACTATTATTAGTATTATTTTATTAAAATAACAATTAAAAATAATTATTTTATACAAATCTGCTAATTATATCAGTTACTATATACAGATATACTAAATACTAGTTAGTATATATATTTCTTGAATGAAATAAAATTATGATTATTATGAGTATTATTAATATCATTATTATTATACTCATAATTTATTTCAAGAAATAATTATATGAAATAATAATTTTATTCAGGTCCACTAACTTAATCAGTTAGCATGAATGTTACATTATGTATTATATAATACTATATTAACTAAAGATATGCTATACATGCACCTTCAGTAGTATGGTGTAGATCAGAAGGAATGAGCAGCAGAGCTTACATAGATGAGATGTTCTCTGTAGCGGATGAGAAGGTTCCGGAGGATTCCCGCCTCGTTCAGATCCCCCAGTCGAATCATGTCCTCCACCCCGTGGATGGAGGTGGGGTGCATCGGCTTGATGTTGGGGGCATTTTGCGGAGAGATCCAGTGTTCCTGAATTCATAGATTCAATGCGACAGAAAACACACAAATCCCACCAAAGAGCTTCATAATAATTATTAGCTATTCATGAAATAAACATATTATGCAATGCAACAAAACATGACTGATCAGCCAGAAGAAGAGCAGCCTTCAGCTGAACAGACTAGGAATGATATTTATGATCAATAACGTACACTTCCTTCGTCATCCAGGACTTGGATCTGACCAGAATCACAGAGCTTCACCACGGCTCCGATCGGGACCTCAAATTCCCCACCCGTCTTCAGGTCCAGCCAGACATAGTCGCCCTGAAACACAATTCAGATCATTAAACATCACATTACTTGGTCATTATTTGTAAATGACATTAGTCTGACTGACGTCATCACTTCATTCAAACACTGTGAGACGATGACATCATCAGTGCGTGACCTTTAACCCTGATCACTTGAAGTACCAGCACAAGTCTCCTCAACAACATTTACATTTATGTATTTAGTAGACACTATCATCTAAAGAGTTTCTATCATTTAAATTACAATACTTATAATATATATATATATATATATGATATATATGATAAATGACACACACACACACACACACACATATATATTTAAAATGGTATTGAGTAACTTGGTAAAATTGTATTGAGTATATATATATAATATATATATAATCAAAAAATTTAGTGGACCTGAATAAAATAATTATGATTAATTATTTTATTAATTATTTCTGTTGAATAAAATAATCATTCTTTCTCATTTTTAAACATTAAGAAAATTCAAATAATAATTTTAATTATAAAAATGTATCAAATTATAAAATTTCTACAAACTATTCTCTCTCTCTCTATATATATATATATATATTTACACAATTACTACTAATATTAGCTTGCATTTTGCAAATTATCAAATGTATATATATATATATATATATATATATATATATATATATATATATATATATATATATATATATATATATATATATATATATATATATATATATATATATATATATATATATATATATATATATATATATATATATATATATATATATATATATATATATATATATATATATATATATATATATATACACCCTCTATATATGTTCTCTGGGTAGAAATCACGGTTTTATGCAGGTCCATTAATTTGATCTGTTAATCAATATTATGTTATGTATTATATACTAGTAATAACTACCTAACACTTGAAATAGAAACCAATTCAATTTTGCAGTTGCTTTTATCAAAGCGAATTACAATAGAGGAACATAAGCAATTCAACAAGACAACAAGACTGAATAATCATGAGGATGATGCAGACACTGAACTTTAGCACTTAGTGTTAGATGCTAAATCAAAATGAATTAAAAGTGAACGCCTGGCACCAAAATACTTAAAATAAATCCAACAAGAGCTCCAAAACACAGTTTCTCCAAATCAAACAAGTCACAAATATGAAGCATTTACACACACACACACACACACACACACACACATGTTGTACCGGTAACAGAGTGGTGTGTTTAACCACAGTGTTGACATTTCGTAGTAAGGCCCACTTTGCCTGATCCTTCTCGTAGAGTTCGACGTAATCCCGACGCTTGTACATCCTCGCCAGATCAAACCCTAAAACTCCAGCCCGAGAGCGTCTGATATACACCCTCAAATACACACACATCCACACGCTCGCTTCCTCAGCATCAAATCCCTCCGTCCAGCCCTCCAGAGACCCAGGATTTCACAGAAACCGTTTCCTTCCAGTCCACCAGCGGGATAAAAATAATAGTAGCGACAAAAACAGTTGTCTGCACGACGTCCTGAAACACACAAACCTCCTTAAAAAACCAAATCTGAGGCCCAAAGCTGGATCATTCCTCTCTGTATCTATTGCTCCGTTCCTTTGCTGGCACTTTCTTGCTCTTTAGGTTCGTTTTCATCAGCCCTGACCGTACTATGTCCCCTTTACTCCTGCTGGTGTATATGGTGTGCATTAGCGTCTGGAAGGGTTGGTCAGGGCATTGGGTGTGGAGGTGGATCCCCTGATAATATGGAGCTTTTTAATTAACTAAATATCCCCAAAGGCAAATCAATCCAGGTAGAGGGAGAACCCAACACCGTTTGGCCGCAGCTGTCACGTCTGAGAAGGCCGCATTGCCAGCCAGCGCCGCTGATACAATCCTAGCAACGACACACGGATGAATAATTCATGCCAAGACAACAACTGCATTGTTCGCTCACTCCTCCTTCTCGCTGTCTTTCATTATCAAACCTCATAACAGACTATCAGAGGATAAAACAAGAGCACGATGGGAAAGAAATGTGCTTAAGCATTCATTAAAAAGCAAGACTTCTAAGTGTGGTGTGCAGAAACTAAGATGCTTTAGGTCAAAGGTCACCAAACAATATCAGTTCCTATCAGACTGCAAACAATTTCTCTAATATTGTCATATAATAATAATTATAATAATAATAAATAAAAATGTAATTCAGAAGTGGTACAACAAAAGAAGTTTGGGGTCAGTAATGTTTTTGTTTTTGAAAGAAATTAATATTTTTATTCAGCAGGGATGCATTAATTTGATCAAAAGTGACAGTAAAGACATTTATGATGTTCCAAAAGATTTCAATTTGAAATAAATGCTGTTCTTTTGAACTTTCTATTGATCAAAGAATCCTGAAAAATAAAATGTATCACGGTTTCCACAAAAATATGAAACAACACAACTGTTTTCAGCATTGATAATAATCAGAAATGTTTCTTGAGCAGCAAATCAGCATATTAGAATGATTTCTGAAGATCATGTGACACTGAAGACTGGAGTAATGATGCTGAAAATTCAGCTTTGATCACAGAAATAAATTACATTTTACAGTACGTTAACATAGACAACAGAGATTTTAAATTGTAATAATATTTCATAATTTTACTGTATTTTTGAGGAAATATTTAAATGCACACTTGATATGCATAAGAGACTTCTTTCAAAAACATCAAATTTACCAACACCAAACATTTGAACAGTAGTGTCTATGTATTCACACATGAATCACAATCATAGAAAATAATAAAACAGCTCAATGAATCGTTCAGTCAGCCAGGTTTATAATGCGTTTAGATTTTCAGCACCCGAACAAGTATTTTTTTAATCATTCGTGATTCTATAATGGACAGTCTCTGGGAGACTATTTTGACTAGAAGGTATTAAGGCTGACAACTTGAAAAAACTGCACTGAATGTGCCTCAAATGTCATTGCAACACAACATACAGACTCCTGAAACAAAGCTACGATTGTTCAGATCATTTAGAAACTGGAGCTCTAATTTAATACCCCTGCTATAGATATGAGCGCTTCTTCTATTGAGTCAATGGTGATTCAGTTCAAAATGAGATAGCAGTGGACATTTCTAGCCGCACAGGAGTGTGAGACTGAGACTCAGTGCAGGTAAATTATTCAGCAAGTGCGAACGATCAGCTCGATGTGCAGTAACAACACGAGTGACGTTTGCGTTAGTTATATAGACGCATTATCACCACACACAATACTGCCGTACTACAGTTACTGCTATAGGTGTAATAGAGAGGGAGAAAATACAGTACATGGATGTGTGTCATAAAACACTCTGCAACCTAATCTGAGAGATATTAGTGAGCGGCAGTACACGGAAATAAACGCAGCACTTTAAAACAACCAATCAAAACAATCAAAAACAATTAAACCAAGTAGCATACATTTCCTAACTTATTGATAATGTTGATCAAACTCCATTGAGTTCATGTGAGCTCATGTCTACATGTAAGATCTCCCCCTTTTGGCAACAACTGGTCATATGTTCTAATATTGCATGCATGCGCTTTGCAAAAAGGAAATATTCTGAATTTGTGATTTGAGGCGAGTTAAAAACATTTAGAAATGAGTCTATCCAAAGCATAATGTTAAACTAGATTTTTTATATTTTCTGGGAGTGCAAAACTTGTTAGCATGTCCCATTGCTTGGTGGTTGGTTTTTTTTTTGTATTAAAAAAAATTGAATAAAAAAAATGAAAAATGAAAAAAGCACCAAACAAAATTACTAACACTTTTAGTAAAATGTTAATAATATTATTAGTAAATGTAGTTGTATATATTTAAAAAATGAATAAATAATTGAAAAATACAGTGAAGGAAGGAAGGAAGGAAGGAAAGAAGGAAGGAAAGAAAGAAAGAAAGAAAGAAAGAAAGAGGATGGATGGATGGATGGATGGAAGAAAGAAAGAAAGGACGAAAGAAAGAAAGAAGGATGGATGGATGGATGGATGGATGGAAGAAAGAAAGAAAGAAAGAAAGAAAGAAAGAAAGGACGAAAGAAAGAAAGATGGATGGATGGATGACAGACGGACGTACGGACGGAACGAACGAACGAAGGACGGATGAAAGAAAGAAAGAAAGAAAGAAAGAAGGATGGATGTATGGATGAAGGACGGACGGACGAAAGGACGAAAGAAAGGACGAAAGAAAGAAAGAAGATGGATGGATGGATGGATGGATGGATGGAGGACGGACGGACGGACGGACGGACGAAAGAAAGAAGGATGGATGGATGGATGGATGAAAGAAGGAAGAAAGGACAGACGGACGAAAGAAAGAAAGGACGAAACAAAGGATGAAAGAAAGAAAGAAAGAAAGAAAGAAAGAAAGAAAGAAGGATGGATGGATGGATGGATGGATGGATGGATGAAAGAAAGAAAGAAAGAAAGAAAGAAGGATGGATGGATGAAAGAAGGAAGGAAGGAAGGAAGGAAGGAAGGAAGGACGGACGGACGAAAGAAAGAAAGGACGAAAGAAAGGATGGAAGAAAGAAAGAAAGAAAGAAGGATGGATGGAAGAAAGAAAGAAGATTAGGCAAAGGTCAAACAAGGACAGATATTTTATGTATACTAGAGGACAGCTGGTATTTCACTGCAACCGTCATTAAAACGCTGCCAAATGTTCCGCCTCAGAGCACAGTGTCATTGCCAAACTGTGACATTACCACATAATATTCATAAGACATGCCAAAGCAATTAAACCACATTTGCATTTAACCCATAAAACACTCTCCTCACAAGCAGTTATTCTGAAACAGTGAAGCATGGGTTATGAAGCAGGTGCTGCTGGTCTCACAGTGTTCTGTTAGCTCCGCCCACTTTCATTCTCTTTGAGTGGGTGGAGAATGAAACGGATGATGTCATTGGATGGGGGCTTAAATGACTGAAATATGCACCTCAGACTGGAATGCATTCATTAATCAGTGTTGTTATTGTTAACTAAAATTATTAAAATTTTCATTAAAATACTAAAATAACACTGGTAAAAAAAAAAATACAGCCTGTCCAATATCAAAAGTTAAAAAATAAATAAATAAATAAATAATTATATTTTGCATAAAGTAAAGCCTATTAATAAACCATTAATATTTAATGCATTGTGAGATTATTTTGACAGCAATTAAGCACATTGTTCACCTAAATTCTCATTCTCATCTCATGCTTTTGTTGTTGTTTTGGTTTTTTAATGGTAATTAAATTATATTGTTTAAATGACGTGATTTTTTAAAAGAAAAAATTAAAGTCAGTACAAGAAATACTACTTTGGTGTATTAAAAATTTTACAATTTAAATGTATTTTTTCACATTACAGCAATAAGAGTTACAGGTAAATGTGCATAACTTTCATTAAATTATGTTACAAAAAAACAGGCTTCATTTTTCTTCATGCAAAATATCATTTTTATTTTCCCCTTAAATTTTTTGGGTGAAATATCACCTGGAAAACTTTCACCTTTTACAGTTTCTCACTCACAGGCAATCCCACTATTATGAAATAATTCATTCGTGCATCTCTTTGTGTGCCACAAACACCCTCAGCAAATTAAATGTCCTATTTGCAACTCAAGCATTGCGATCTTTAAAGCCCGGCCTTACCTGTACTAATGTGGGATACCTGTAACTCAGTTTGCGTGTTTTCACATCCCGTCCCTGTGCTCTGGCTCCCTTCATCTCAAACCCACTGTCCAGTTACAGCTCACCTCTCGCTTCAGTCTGCGCTCTTTAACGGGACAGAAATCACCCCAGCGCTTGTTCCTCTGTGACAGACAGAGCCGGATCCTCGTACCCCTGTGAATCTATGAGCCCGTGAATGACCACATCCCGCTCCTGAAAATGAGGGCCTGTCAGCAGCGATTAGAGTCACAGAAAGCCAGATGAGAGCAGCTCTGTGTTCGGTGTTCACCAGAGCCAATGGACCAGCAAACTTACAAAATAACCTTCAATAACCCAGCAAAAACAACAAGTAAACTGGACGTGATGGACGCGGAAGAGTTTAGAGCACACCAAACATTTAACACTTTGTGTTTGAGCAGACATACTGCAAGGAATCCTATAAACGGGGGAGACCGGGGCTAGTTGTCACACAGAAGATGTTATGGTCTTTATCTTTTCAGCCAAACTTCCAATTACACAAAAATGCTTGTTTTCTCTAGCAATGCATTGGATGGATGGATGGATGGATGAAAGAAGGAAGAAAGGACAGACGGACGAAAGAAAGAAAGGACGAAACAAAGGATGAAAGAAAGAAAGAAAGAAAGAAAGAAAGAAAGAAAGAAAGAAGGATGGATGGAAGAAAGAAAGAAGATTAGGCAAAGGTCAAACAAGGACAGATATTTTATGTATACTAGAGGACAGCTGGTATTTCACTGCAACCGTCATTAAAACGCTGCCAAATGTTCCGCCTCAGAGCACAGTGTCATTGCCAAACTGTGACATTACCACATAATATTCATAAGACATGCCAAAGCAATTAAACCACATTTGCATTTAACCCATAAAACACTCTCCTCACAAGCAGTTATTCTGAAACAGTGAAGCATGGGTTATGAAGCAGGTGCTGCTGGTCTCACAGTGTTCTGTTAGCTCCGCCCACTTTCATTCTCTTTGAGTGGGTGGAGAATGAAACGGATGATGTCATTGGACTGGGGCTTAAATGACTGAAATATGCACCTCAGACTGGAATGCATTCATTAATCAGTGTTGTTATTGTTAACTAAAATTATTAAAAATAGTTTTCATTAATTGAAATAAAGCTGAAAAAAATATAAATATTACATGAAAAACTTAAATTTGCAAAAGCTTAACAAAATTTAAATTTGGCAACTAACAGAAATAGGTTTAAGTTGAAGTACTAAAATTACTAAAACTGAAATAAATATAAATTAAACCTAAATAGAATATTTTTTAAAAATGACAAAAGCATATAATAAAACTACTAAAACTTACCCTAAAATGAAAATGAAACCTAAAATAAAATTAATATATATACCTCGTACCCCTGTGAATCTATGAGCCCGTGAATGACCACATCCCGCTCCTGAAAATGAGGGCCTGTCAGCAGCGATTAGAGTCACAGAAAGCCAGATGAGAGCAGCTCTGTGTTCGGTGTTCACCAGAGCCAATGGACCAGCAAACTTACAAAATAACCTTCAATAACCCAGCAAAAACAACAAGTAAACTGGACGTGATGGACGCGGAAGAGTTTAGAGCACACCAAACATTTAACACTTTGTGTTTGAGCAGACATACTGCAAGGAATCCTATAAACGGGGGAGACCGGGGCTAGTTGTCACACAGAAGATGTTATGGTCTTTATCTTTTCAGCCAAACTTCCAATTACACAAAAATGCTTGTTTTCTCTAGCAATGCATTGTATGTTCTTTTGTAATTGCTATTACACAATAAAACTTCACTGACATGTTAATAGATGAGTCACTATATAATGAAGACAGGTTTAAACTATTTACAGGACAAGGGTGTTTTCTTTTTTCATAAATATCAGATGGGGGCAAGTTGTCACTTATGTTTTATATTATGTAATTTCTTACAATGGATTAATTGCATTTTTATTTTAGCCAAAACAAAAGACAATTTTTGAAAACATTTACTTATTTATTTTGCCACAATAGATTTATATATAATAATTATTTATTTGAAATGGACCTGAATAAAATACAAATTATTTGTTATTATTATTTAATTTCATTTATTATCTTATTGTTATTATTTATATTTTATTAAAATATTTATTTATTTGATTAATTGTTCGTTCATTCATTCAGTCAGTCAACTGTTACCTTTTTACATTTTTATTTTATTTTTTTTCATGTTTCATAAATTGTTTTTACTGTTTAAATTTACCTTAAAATGCATTAATTTGCCAATAATATATTTAAAATATAGATATGTTGGATGGATTTTAGAATATGGATGTTTCTTTACTTCTTTTTTTAGTAAAGAGCAGGTTTCTATTGTGACAACTTACCCCATGCTGTGTGACAACATGCCCTGCTATAGGAGTGACTGTATCTTTTTTTCCCCCTTCTTGTTTTTGTCTTTATCTGTGAAAAAATGTGATGAAAAACCTTTAAGGTTACTCAAAACTTGAGATTATTCACTGCAGCGAAAAGTGTGACAACTAGCCCCGGACTCTGCTGCATGATGTTCAGCAGCAGTAATGAGATTCAGGCTTTGAACCGGAGAACATCATTTACTTATTTATTTTGCCACAATAGATTTATATATAATAATTATTTATTTGAAATGGACCTGAATAAAATACAAATTATTTGTTATTATTATTTAATTTCATTTATTATCTTATTGTTATTATTTATATTTTATTAAAATATTTATTTATTTGATTAATTGTTCGTTCATTCATTCAGTCAGTCAACTGTTACCTTTTTACATTTTTATTTTATTTTTTTTCATGTTTCATAAATTGTTTTTACTGTTTAAATTTACCTTAAAATGCATTAATTTGCCAATAATATATTTAAAATATAGATATGTTGGATGGATTTTAGAATATGGATGCTTCTTTACTTCTTTTTTTAGTAAAGAGCAGGTTTCTAATGTGACAACTTACCCCATGCTGTGTGACAACATGCCCTGCTATAGGAGTGACTGTATCTTTTTTTCCCCCTTCTTGTTTTTGTCTTTATCTGTGAAAAAATGTGATGAAAAACCTTTAAGGTTACTCAAAACTTGAGATTATTCACTGCAGCGAAAAGTGTGACAACTAGCCCCGGACTCTGCTGCATGTTCAGCAGCAGTAATGAGATTCAGGCTTTGAACCGGAGAACATAATCTCTCATTCATCACAACATTAGAGGGTCTTTAGCAGCAATGAGCAGTGTAGAAAACAACACAGACTCAACTCGACCCGCAAGCAACTTACTTCATCAGAGGAGCACTAATAAACAAATAACAAGATAAAAAGGACACACAACAATGCAGACTGACATATTAATGAAGCCAGAGGTTAGAGGCTGGCGTATAGCATATGTGTGTAGCACTGAGACCCAGATCAGATTAGACATAATCAGTTAACAGCATTTACGTTCTGCGCTCCGCTGAAGCTGCTTTATTTCTGGAGCGAGTCAATGTCAAAGCAGTCAGGTTTCCATCTGACCTCTACAGGCACCACAGATCAACACTAGTTACTTATAAAATACAAATGAATCTTTCAAAATATGTAATGAGTAATATTTCTACTGTTTAAAGTTTGTTCTTGATTTAAGATGATCAGTTTTAGACAGTAATAAATCTCTCTGATAAAGAAATGATCCAAAACACTATCACACAGGCCGTCAGATTTCCGAGGTCCTGAGAGTTTGACCCTGTGTGGTGGATCGGGATATTTCGAGTGTTTATGAAGACGTAAGAGTGTTTTCTGGAGTGAATGATGAGTGTGTACCTGCTGTAGAATGACCATGACTGTGCTGTTTGTGTTTTCTCCTGGACATCAGACGTCTCCACACCAGACCCTGACAAACACACACACACACAGATTATTAGTGCTACAGAAATACACTCATACAGTTTGCTTATCAAAACATACTAATCTGCCAACTTTCTGAATGTCATATTTCCTGAGAAACACATGCACTTGATGAGTGGTAAGCGCCATAAACAGAAGAGTTATTTTTTACACTCTTGGTGAGAACTATATAATAAATAATATATTTTTTTATTTATTGCGCTTTGATGTGCCAACTTTTTTCTTTTTGTTAAATAAGAAATTAATAATCATCATGTGTTTTCGTGGTTTGTGGTTGAGCTTTTTGCCTGCTGGACGTGCGCACTTTTTGTCTAATATCTAATTTCACTGTACAGTTTTATTTTAATTTAAATGTAAAATGTAATTTTATTTTACACCATAGCTTTATTTTATTTGTCAATACTATTTGTTTACTCCATTTGCACTATAACATTTAATTGATAAATGTTATTATAAATATTATTGTTTTACTTTAATTTTACTTATTACATTGTCAACACCAATGTGTACAGCTGATATAATCAACTTACAATTATTGCAAGTTGTCACCATATTTTTTATTTTATTTAAATTTTTTTACATACATCACCAAATATTACAAATATTGCAAGGAGTCTTTTAATTAATATGAGGTCATAAGCCTGCATGTATAAAAATGAATAATAAGAATTAGAAAAATATTTAAATGGAGTGCAGCACGTCACACTGCAGGACACTGAAGTTACTATAGTTAACATTTCATGTCAACTACTCAAATACACAATTTTTGCCTTGCACATTAAATTGAATTCCAATATATAAACTAGCGCGCACACGCACACACACACACACACACACACACACACACACATGCACACACAAGCACACGCACACACACACACCACGCACACACACACACGCGCACGCACACACACACAAGCACACGCACACACAAACCCACACACACACACACACACACACACAAGCACACGCACACACAAACACACGCACGCACGCACACACACAGTCATTCTGTACTAGACTCTCAGGTCTGGTCCGTGTTTCATCATTGACTGCAGTCATGCTGATATAATAACTGTTATTCAATGGGACACACAACACTGAACACAGACACCACTGCTGATCCTGTTCCACAGAAACAAACTATAACAACAGCAAAAACACCAGCTGCAGATTAATGTGCATAAAAAGAAAACAAGACAATAGAAGCAGTAAACATTCCCATGCTAAATTATTCAGCCGTGAACGACCTGCCTCACATTTCCTCTATTTAACTTCCCTTTGACAACAGCTGACCTATGACCTCCTGAGAAACAGAAGCTCCTTCAGATATCTTTACCAAGACACTACAAGAATTTTATAATATTTCTTTTCAAATTCCTTCTGAAGCAGATGTGAACTCAAGCAGGTGTGTATATTTGTGCATTGTGTTATTTTAGTGTCACTGAGATACCATTATGGTTTTTATTAATATTTTAAATATTTTTATACTTTCTAAATTCATAAAAAAATTTGTTTTTGTCATTTTTATTATTTATTATTAATTTTTATTTCAGTTTTAGTTTTAGTAATTTTAATACATCAAGTTCAACTAAATGAAAATCAGAAATGTTTCCTTGACAAATAAAATAAAATAAGTTTAAGATTTATTTTATTTTTTATTTTTTTTATCTTATATCTAATTTTTTATGGTTTTAGTTTTTGTTAACTAGAATAACTCTGCTCCAAACCTCTGGTGTAGTTTTAGCTGGTTAATCTGGTCCGGACACGCAGGGCGAGCAGGATGAATGTGCTGAATAGAGTGCCATGCACATGGACATTAATATTTTACTGTCTAATTAAACCAGTTGACGTCTGGGAATAAAGACTGCACAGTCTGGATGCAAGGGACAGGAGGGAGAGCCGGGATACAGGTTAAACAGACTAATAAATATTAGTGTGTGTGTTGAATTTAAATTAGTCTGTGTGTTGAAGAGCAACACATTTCTTCAAATTTCCCTCACAAAAGTACTGTGGTGATACCATGGTATCAAATATCATGGTACCATAGTACTGAATGATGACCATATTCATGAACCACAGTATTTATACGTTAAAAAAATATCTAAAAATATAAAAATAATACTATCATCAATATTAAATAACACAAAAATATAAATAAATATATTTAAATAAATAAATAAAAATAAATAAATAAATGTCATTTGACATTTTACATATGTCAAAAAAAAACAAAAAAAAAACAATAATAATAAAATCACTCAATCAATAATTTCAAACTTTGATGTCCACATGTAATGGCTGATGCATAAAAGCTGAAAGTACCAAAATATGTTTAAAGCTCCCTCTAAAATTAATCTTACTGTCATTGACGTTAAAAAAATTGAGATGCAGGCCCTCTTGTTTTGGGTGAAGGATATGTTTGATCAACATGTACAGTAAGGATCAGACCAAATTAAGAAGTTCTTAGTCCAAAATCCACAGGGATCCGATCTGATTCCTGTCCTGACCAATGACAGCACAGATTCAAGCAGCCCAAAATACAGATGAAGTACTATATGTAATCCACAGCCAATCTGTAGATTTATCTTTCACGGTTAATGTTTTTAACCAGTTAATTGATGAGGTTTTTCAGACTGGTACATTAACCTCAAAGAACACTCTTTCACTGCAAAAAGTGGATTACTATCGATCGGTAAGGTGGAAATATGAATTTGAATATCTTCTTGATAATCTCACGTTAACACATAGTACATAGACTATTCATTACATACATACAGTACATAGCCTACAATTACACTTAATAAAATATAGGCTATACACAATTGCTTTTCTTTCATTTTTAATCTTGAGCAATATTTAATTATGGAAAAATATTTCTTGCTTAGAAACGTTTATGCATGTTTCATTACTTTTTTTGAGGCAGTTCAATCTCAAGAGAATAATATAATACTTATAACTTATTACTCATATTTTCCAGATACCTGTAATCTTAATCTTATACAAAATAAAATAAAATCTCTCATGCATTACATGTATAACCAAACCCAGTCAATAGCCTACACTTAAATGCTAAAATTAAAGGTAAATAACCTAAAGAGGTAGATGATAAAAAGTATTTTACTTACATATGACATTGAGTCGGATGAATACCGTATGTTCTTGTATCCTGGTCGAGCTGAATGGCATCGTGTTACCATGAGTTTTGTTTTTGAGCGTTAAATGAATGAACGTCACGGAGCGACACCGCTCTGAGGCACGCTCCCATCAGCGCGCACTCATCAGCTCGCGCTCATGTTTGCAGACTGAGCGACCGTGAACGCGCGTTCCCTTGCTTCCTCTACCGGCTGTTTTTAGGGAAATTAAGTTAGGATGCGGTCTGATCTCCACAAAAACCTATTTAGCATTTACGTCTAGTCTACAAATTATGAAGAACTGCATATTATACATTTTCAATGTGAATCACAAATTTCTCAGTGACCGAGCAGAGAGCTCTGCTGGCTCTCTATTAATGAAGCCAATTAGCTACTGTAGTTCATGTTACCAAACATAAATGTCAAAAGTTAGCGGTTAATCTTCTGCTTAATATATATATATATATATTTGTATATATAACTGAAATAAAATTAATACAAACTGTACAGACATTTAAAAAAATAAATCAATAAAAAACTAAAACTAAAAAAACATGACAGAATGTAAGCCTTTAAAATTTAAATGGAAAATAGAAAAATAAAAACTAATTCAAAATATTGATAAACTGTAATAGTATCTCAGTCATACTAAAATAACACTGATACTAAACTACAGATCAGATTTGGGTAATTTAGACTGAAACAATTTTTATTTGATGATGATAAATAAACTTTTTTGCATGCACTAAAATAGATGTCTTTGCACGTCGGCTTAAAAGTAAATGTAAAACTTTAAAATTAAAATGGAAAATAGAAAAATAAAACCTAATTCAAAATATTAATAAAACTACATTACTACCTCAATAATACTAAAATAACACTGGTACTAAAAAATGTTTTTAACCAGTTAATTGATGAGGTTTTTCAGACTGGTACATTAACCTCAAAGAACACTCTTTCACTGCAAAAAGTGGATTCCTATAGTCATACTGGCTTCAAATATCAGTGCATTATTAATTAGATGTTACGGTCACTTTTTGGCAAAATAAACTCCGTTAGAAAGCAAAATCTGACTAGCCAGAGGACAAACTAAATGCTGAAATGCAAGAAAAACATGCAAAGCTCACCATCTGCATCTCGTCCTTGACAAGATACTGTAATTTAGCATTCATCAGACAAAACACTCCAATTACACCGAACACAGCTCATCGAAACTCACATATCTAATATACATCTGATAGAAAACGGTGTGTAAAGGCCAAGAACTCGATGCTTTGGGAATAATGCAGCTTTCTGTGAAAAATGTGTGAATTTAGCTGGACGTTATTAGTAAAATGTAATCACTATATCATGTTATTTACAGATTTACTGGAATATATCACTACATTACTACCTCAATAATACTAAAATAACACTGGTACTAAAAAAAAAAAAACTTTTATTCTTTATTTATTTTTATTTATTCCTACATATTTATTTTTTAGTACTCCAAGGAGTACTCTTTAAATACCACAATATAAAAATATGGTAATTATCCAGTACCATGGTATTTACTGTAGTGTCTGCTACTATCATCATCAGTGCTCCTTTGAAAGGGAGATTGTTACCTTATTTTACTATAATTGATACACATTTTAAAATAATTAGTAAAAATATTATAGTAATACACAAAACAAAAATATAAATAAAATTATAAAAATACACATACATTGTAAATGATAGATAGATAGATAGATAGATGCTCACCTCAGTTCAGGAAAGTCTGTGTTCTGTGGGTTTCAGGTGAGCTGAGAGGATCCTCACAGGTGCGTCAGATGAAGAATGAGTGTGGATGAGGAGGACGGGCTCGTGTGAGACACCCGATGACTGTGACTCTCTCATTCACAGCCACTGATCCTCACAGCGGAGGGAGGGGGCAGGACAGACACGGGACGTCCCGAGTGACAGGAGGGAGGAGGAGGAGACTCCGCAGTGGGGCAGAGAGCATGACAGGTCACACACACACACACACACACACACACACACACATAAAGAACA